GCCACTCACTGCATGCCAAATCACCTGCTTTTGTGTACACACACACTGGGCACCACTTGTCTTAATGACACAGACGGTGAAAACTTATGCTGCTCTCAGGTAATGCACATTAAAGGGATTTTATCTGCTGCAAATAAAAAGGGATTTTACCATCTTCTTAGTATTTTTAAAAAGTTCTTCCATTAAAAAAAAAAAAAGTGCTTGATTTACTGGCATTAAATAAAGAAAAGATCTGGAGAAGCATCTATCTATCCTTCTATCTATCTATCATTAGATGTAATTTAATACTTAATGACATTTGTGATCATCATGCCATGCTTGTAATTGAAAATGAATAATTGAAATTCCAATTACCACAGGGGTCAACGTAAGGGGAATTCGTATAGTAACTTGCTAGGCAATAGCCTAAATTTGCAGTCATGTTAGGACTGCAAACAGTGTGTCTCATTCTTCAATTATTTATTGGGAAATGTCGTCTTAATTTCTCTTGGCTATTTCTGTGAACAGTCAGTGCATTGTCCAGAAAGACAGAAAATCTAGGCTTCATCACGCTTATTCAGCATCTAGCTGAAAAGTCCAGGATCAGCACTCCTGGGGGGCTTGCCATTGACATCTATTCGTATCAGAGCACCTGAAGATACCACCAGCAGATCAAATGAATTTCAATACAGACCATGTATCTTTCAACACGGGCTCTATGCAAGAAAGCATAGAGCCGCACAAAGACCAACAGTAGATGATAGGAATAGAGTTAGCCCTAAATAATCAATTCTGGGCTTCAAACAACATCCAGTGGCAAATCATCAACATAACAAAAGAGACTCATTTTCAGCCCATTAGCTGCTTGCAGTACAAGGAACTTTTCTGGCTTTCTCAGAAATTTGATCCCCTAATGACTGCAGAAAGGGCATCAGGACAGAAAATAATTACAGTCTGTCAGACAGTCTGGCATTCAACCTTCCACATGGTCCAGCAGACGGTGTCAAAGATTTGACCTCAAGGGGTTTTAAAGCACATTGTCAGAAAATACTCATCTAAATGGTCTACAGAGCATCCTACAGCTGATCAATGTCTTAAGTGAGCAATACTTAGCAGCTGGAATGTGTTTGATTAGTACATCTAACCCCTGATTGATTGGTATTCTAAATTATTAATTGCCTTGTTCGTGGGGGAATGGAATGAAACTTTAATAAGTGACAAGGATCTCAGCGTCTCTGCAGCAGGCTACAAGGATGTTAGCTCTGCTTTTCACAAGTCAACTTAAAGCTCACATATGAAGCTACCTGAATTTCCAGCCAGAGTTGCAGAATTTCATTTCTTTACTAATATCAGTTTTAAACCCAAGAATTTCACTTACTGGCCATTTCCCTTAAATTTGCTTCACTTCTGGGAATTTTACATATCACTCACTTTCATTTATCTTTTAACCTAGCAGATCTTTTTAGAAAGGTGCAAAGGTTTTAGGCATTAATCCTCAAACCTGTGTCTTTAAAAAGAGCCATGAATACAATGTATATTCATATATATAGAGATATTATTTATAGGATGCACATCCCAAATTAGACATCAGAGTCAGAGCTAGTGTCCCTTGGCTTTTCTTTACAGCCAGTGGAAACAGGAACATCCAGAAGGTGAATGATCTGATCTGCCTTAAGACCTTTAAAAGCAGAGGTTTGTACAGTGACTTCCACCCTGTATATTAGGTTTTGTATGCCTAGATTAATCACATAGTGCTTTTGCTCAAGAAACTGGGGAGTGATTTTGATAATCTGTTGCAGATGCAGGCTCACAGATAGAAAGGGACTTGCTGCTTACGTTAACCAGCTCCTGCAGGAGGTTGATATACATTCCTTTGTTAATAAAATCTCAGGGACTGATTATTTCTGAAACCATTGAAATTTGGGCATATCCTGGCATGAAATGCAAGCAAGCTGGACTGGAACAATTTATATCACCTTTCTATTAGGCACAACCCAGGCTACAGGGTGGGAGAGAACTGGGCCACTGTCTAGTCCTCACCCATTCTATATATTGATTTTTGATCCTGTCTGGAAAAAAAATAAAAAATCTCACTTTTTGCAACGAGGGAATCCCTTTCCTGTGGGGAAGGGGTCTCTCAGATCCTTTCCCTTCCCTGGTAGCATTGAGTACCATCACTTACAACCTCAGTCTACTGCACGCTCTCTCATGAAGACCTAGATTCACCTGGGCAGCAATTAAAAAAAAAAATAAAATTCCTAAATATTCCTAAATATCTGCACCTTAGGACATGTATTAGTTCTCTTCCCCACGTGGCACAAAGTTATCCTGACCTCGTCTGGATCTCTTGGCAAGGCTGATGTCCTGGATCAGAGGCACAAAAAAACAGCCTCTCCACCAGGGCACTCAGGTCCTGGTATTTCAAAGAGACTTAAGGATTTTATGGAATTTGCCCTGAAGTGCTTCTCACTGTAATACCCATAACTCACTCACAAAAGGAATGGTGCTCTCTGTCTTTCTCAAAGGAGCTGCTGGTGATGATTTGCACTCTCCTATCATTTTTTCCCAGAACACACCAATGTCCATTCTTAGTGATGATTTGAAATGTCAGGCTCTTTTCCTTCTATTGTTTCTAGAGATAAGACCTGTCTTTTGCATGGCTCACACAGGTGGATTTTTTTTGGCTGAAGAGGAAGAGCCATCCTTTTTTTTTTTTTCTTGGGGATATCTACGCCACTGCAGGAGGTACAGCATGGCCAAGCAGAGCTCTGGTCCCCCATGCTGAGGAGCCCCTCCCACTGCTGACCCGTAGCATAAGAGAAGGAATTCTGTTATATTGCAGTCTCAATTTTACAATCTTTTTGAGTACACACATTAATGCTTTAAAATGATCTTCATGATGTTTGAGTCTGTGCATTTTCGGTCAGCACTGCCACATTGCCGGGCAGGTCACAATGTTGTTATTAGCATCAGATTTATAAGGACCATCATCATTGACTTTCAGTGGGTGAAGTGTCCTTGGAGAGGCTCTTTAAACAAACCTGATTTCAGCTTATGGACCAGACCATCATTACCTCTCTCGCCAACCAAAGAATGTGTGTTTACACAAGAGGAGGCCATGGGTCAGAGGCAGAGAGCAGAAGCACAGACAGTGCAAATCAATATTTTTAGATAGTTTACTCTTAAATAAACTGTAAGACCAGGTCCAGCTGGTTTGTATCAGATTCACCACACTTGGTATCAATGGAAGAAGGACAGTTTATTCATATGAGAGTTACAGGACTCAGCACAGTTATCTCAATAAACTTCTAGCTGGAAAACCTCACAGCTTCTTGGGGTAATCAGTTGCTCATTGAGTATATAGAAGAAGTATTCAGCTTCTTGGCTTACAAATAAAGCAAATAAAAAGTAATTTAGAAATCAGAGTAAAATAAATTATTTAAGTTCTTAGAGCCTTTGAGTGATCAGGATCTGGTGGGTGTCAGACAGGTCACAGCATTGGAAGGATCAGTATTACGATCAAGCAAAGCAATTCCTACATTTTCTGACTCTCAGCTTAGGGTCCTGCCTTCTGGATGCAGGGTCCCATCCCTCCTATGCACAGCAAAGACCAAAAAACAACAAGCCTGAGAACAGAGAAACTAAAACAGATGCCATCCCATTAGTTGACAACTTTAGGCAACCCCTTCCTAAACTGATGAAAGGTTGGCCATAATGGCTAGACAGGGTGAAAGAGTTGCCTGATCAATACTTCAGAGGGCAAAAAGAGTTTGAATCCAGCCCTAGGAACTGTCATGTGGAATAAAATTCCTGCCAGGCTTGGCAGCAATAATGTCAGAGTTGTTCACCTGTTTCCTTGTGAGCCATGTCCAGTTTTTGGACATGCATTTCCACGTGTATCCAACACAGCCTGAGGTGGGAACTAATGAAAGGTCAGTTTTTGACATGTGTTGATACACAGAGCACAGTTGCCTAGCACAGATGTTGCTTTGCACACATTTCTGCAGACTGGATTTGTAAGTCAACTGGGCCTTGGCTCAGCAACACTCACTCGGGAACTCCTCACTCCAGGCTCTGAATTTTGCCAATACCGTGCACAGCTTTCATGAATACATTAAATACCTATAGATCACCTACCTTCTGGGAGGATTAGCATAAGCCTTGTCTGATAACATAGCCAGAGAATTACAAAAATTCAATTTTTTTAACCAGTGAGGCTTACAATGAGGCTTTTTTTTTTTTTTTAACCCTCCAAGCTCTCATGTTTTCTTCTTCCCTTCTTAGTTTGCAGATTATTTTGTAAGTTTTAGCCTTTTACTTACCTTTTCCTCATTGAAATATTCAGAATTGTTTGTGTTTACTATTTAAGATACAGAAACTCAAAGAAACAATCAAGTACCTGAAGGCTATATATTCTAAATAGTTCTATTCACCTTTCCCTTGAAAACCAAGACTCTTAAAACAACTTTTTAAAAATCAGAATGTTAAATGCCAATTCAAATGTTCTATTACATATTAGTCCTATGGGAATGTGATTAAATCACCTCACTTCAAATAAATCTAGACAAGGTATATATCTGATGGCTGAATTTTTAATTATTATTATTAGAAGAAAATATTTATGCTATAGTAGCATGCAAAATTCCAGGAGGAAATCACTATTATTACTACTTCAGCTCTCCAGCAGCAAGCATTCTCTATATCCATGTATAATAAGATATAGTCTTACACCACTTAGTTGAATTTAATAATCAAAATTTATTCCACAGAGGACACCTTATTGACTTCTGCTCTGCTGGCTTTTCTTCATTGCTTTCTGCATTATCTTTTCATTTCCCTCTTTTCCCTGTATATTTTCAGGGTAGCATCCCTGCACAGAGACCTGATTCAAGCTGTGACTTCAACCAGCATAAATTCATGCCTGAGGACACATTTTAGCTCAAGTTTAAAATAAAATAAGAATTCACTTCACTGCAAAATTAAAACAAATACGAAGCACTATCATTACTGTTTTAACTTACCTCAATTATATTCATTCGTTTATGCTACTAAAGGAGTTTTGCAAGACTCTGGCTTCATTACACTTTTTGATTCACGAGCTGAACTGAAAAAAAAATCAAAAAGGAGCAACTGTATCTTAGGTTGACCTGAATGAACTTTCTTGTTGTTTTTCTTTTCACTAACAAAGCAGCTGAAGAATTGGTAGATAGGAAAAAAAAAAAAAAAAAAAAAAAAGTAGGATCAACTGAAACATTTTGCTTGGACCTACATATCATGTTTTCCTTTGTGGAGGTTGAAGTTTTCCTTTGTACTACATTTTCTACATTTTTATTTCTTTAGGCCAACAGGCTTAAACTAACAGTTTCTACCATGCCACTGAAATCTTTTATGTCAATGTTTTTATAATTTTCATTTTTGCTTCTCTGGGGCAGAAAGCTGTTTAAATATGTGGGCATCACACATTATACAGGAAACAAACCACTGAAATATTTTACCCAGATCTATTTATGTGGCCATTTTACCATAAGATCTGGACATACCATCAACAGCAGCAATGAATTAAGGCTCACACAGACTCAGTGTAAATTCATCCTATGTACCTTTTGGCAAAGAAAGGATGAACTTACAGTAAGAGACTAGTCTCATTATACTTCCTCTGCAGCAATAATTTTTAACTTTTACTCCCTTGCAACCTCCTAGGAATTTCCCAGTGCAGCAGAACCTGTGTTTTCTGTATAAAAGTTCACTACAAATATAATGATATTTTTTCTTTGTTACCTTTCAAGTTCATGCACAGAATTAACAGAATCCCAGTTGTCTCCAGAAAGACAGCAGAGGATGTCACAAAAGAGGGAATGTCACTTAGGCTCTGCCCACATTCATGGCTTAAGAACTGAATTTCTTTGGTTGATCTAAGTTGAGAATCATTCAGCCCTCCTCAGTTTGAGTATCTATGACCTTTCAGTATCTCCCTCTCCTTCCAAGACACGGATGATGGTGTATCCCCTTGTTCACTACTCTTTTCTGCAGTAGCAAACAAACCTAACTTCTGCAAAAGAACTAGATCTAGGTTCAAAACACAGTTCCACAAGCAGAGGTGAGGAATGGTCTCTGCCAGTGCAGGAGTTAACCTCCTCCCTGTTGAGTGATCTCAGAACCAGTTTAAAGGCTGTGTAGAATGGGATGACCACTTTCCTTCTCATTGAGGTTTTTCACCTTTGCAGGCCATGATTTTGTGGCATGGTATTTAACAAACTACTCTGCAGCCTTGATTTCTCCCCAGGATTAGAGCTGCATGGTGGAGAAATCCCAGCAGGAGTGATGGAGCGAGATCAATGCAGACAATAACGGAACACATAACATAAACTTCAGTCCTCTCTGGATTCTATCCAAACTTACCCTGGACTCTTTTTCTAATCCCCAGAGCGAAGCAGACATTTTCAGGGCACATATTATTATGTGTCCTTATTTTAGGTGTCTCTTTTAGAATGAAAATATTGTACCCTAGATGTGCTTGTTTTTCCCCACTGACTAAAAAACAAAACAAAACAAAACAGAACAAGCAAAACAAAAACAAAAACAAAAACAAAACAAAACAAAACAAAACAGACTGTGGTGACTGCCTCTGCCGTTGTGAATATTTACATTTGATCAGACACACCTAATCCAGACTGTTTTCTATATACATTGTCATCTTCTTTTCCAAATAAAACTTGCACTTTTGCTAAGAAACCCTATTCATGCTATCTCAAAGCAACACTTCTATAAAATCCAGGATGAAAAAATAAAAAAAAATAAAAAATTAAAACCTTCTGTTTTCAGGCATTTATGTCCCAGAATAGACCCTGAAATCTAACCACCACTGTTTGGGCAGCCAGAGGGAGAAACAGACTATGAACAAAACTGAAACAGATTTTATTGATTTTTCCCCATGCAGGCTAAGCCACATGCAAAATCAAAATCAAACACAGAATATCAATAACTAACAACAAGTCAAGTGCATTTTCAAATGACTTCCCTCTCCATGGTCTAAGGCATTTCTGCAATAAATAAGGTTCAGAAAGATACATACAAATTATGATTTGAAGTGGATTATGTCCCTTTAAGGGTTCATTTTGATGTTTTCACACTGATGACCACAAAGCTGTTAGCCAGGTGTGCTTTTTTATTGCCCAGTGTATCATAACTGTAAGACTCAAAATGTTTTCTCTCACAGCAAAAAAAAGGTACCACAAGTTCTTGCTCTGTACTAAATCTGTTGTCTCCGAGTCATGCATACACATTTCCAGCTTACTGAGCTATGGCACCTCACCACACCAGGGCTCTGTCTCCAGTAGTTGACTCACAAGTAGGGTTTAACCTAGCAAGTTCCAGTAAATACTGAGCTCAGTCCAGGGGTACGCATGGAGACACTGACTATGAATTACTCCACAAGTGGGATAAGACTCAATTCTTACTTAACTTTAGACTTTGCAGACATCTTTAATGAGCTAACCATCCTCAATAGAAGGAGAAAAACTACTGATGGAGAAAAGCTACTACAACTGGCTCCCAGATGAACCCCAGATGAGGACTGTCTCTTAGGATGGCTTTGAGCTCATACAGCACATAAGTTGCTGCAATGTGACTGTCTTGTGGTCCTTATACCTCATCTCCACGCAAAAAGATGTTTACACTGGGACGTCACTCCTCTCTCTTGAGTTGTCTTGTTGAGAAACGGTTAACCAAATACCTCAGGTTGCAATGAAGACAGTCTTTATCTGTGAGCCCCAGATCCCTCCTAACCTGCTTGGATGGAAAACTTCTAAAGTATTTTATTATAGTCCCTGAGTCTGCATACAGTTCCCATGGGATTGCTTATGTATCCTACGTTTTAAATTCTCTGGAATTTCTCATACAAATAAGTATCATATAAGAAGGAAAATTCAATTTACATTTGGTGAGGTTCGAAAGTCAATGTAATTGAATGATAATTTGCCGTGAAGCATGGATGTGAGTCCTCATGTTTGCCTCTTGACCTGAAAGGATACGGCTAGTGAAAACGTCTAGCAGATAATTACTGCTAGGCTAACCCTGAGGCTTGGCTATTATTCACAGGTCAATCTCTCTAAGATAATTCCCAGGATAATATTACCAAGGAACACACTCCCCTTGCATAATGCAACACCTGCCTCTCTTGTGAGATATCAGGGATGGGGAGCTGAGCTTTGCCTCCCCTTTGGTATCTTTATTAAGCTTTCTTGTAGGGCAGAGGATGAAAGCAGCAAAAGAGGTAAATAATGCAAATATCACCTTGCAGTAGAGAATCTGGAGAGATTTTATTTTCATTACTTATCAGGGCTATGCCTTCTCACAGAGTCTCTAAAGACTGGGGAACACACAATTGTCACTTAATGGGATCAGGTGTTGGAAAAGGCAGGGGAAAACTAGTTTGAACAACAAAAATATTTCCTATCCAAAAGCACTAACAAATAAGCCGTGATATATCATATTGCCCTCTTTTGTGCATAGGATTACACACACCTTTCACAATTAAAGGAATACACCTTTTAGAGTATTTGCAACAGAGACTGGTGTGTTTTTGTTTATATCCCACTGGTGTGCATGCCAGCAAACTGTTTTTTATAAACTCTACTGTAGATAAACAAGAGAAAAAACCTGTTAAAACATATCAGAAGATCACTCAAAATCATTGTTTCGTCTTTCTTTTTTTTTTTTTTTTTTTTTTGTCAAGACAAATACACTTCTAGGGACCAGATGCAGCAGACAGCTATATGCTGTATTTTAGGTAGTGTTGGCATGGTCTCTGGGCTTCTATAGCAGTGCAAGGCACATGAGCACATGAATGGGACAAACCAGGTCATAGTCAAGCACTGGGGTGAGCTCAGTCTGCTTTATTCCCCTTTGGATCATAGAAACTTAGGGCCAGAAAAGCTCAAGGGAGGTCGTCTAGACCATCCCCTTGCCCCAAGGCAGGCTTAACTATAGGCAGGTCATGCCTGACAGATGTTTGTTTAACTTGCTCTCATAGTGATGGAAACTCAACAAGCTGTGCCTGGTCCTCAGTGTCCTCACAGCTAGAAAGCTTTCCTTCTCAGTGTTATAAATCTACCTTTTCTGTTGTAAGACAAGAAGCAGGATAGGTAAGGGTCAACAGTAGGAAAATGTGCAATGAGGGAAAAAAAATAATACCCAAGGGAGAAAATGGGGTAAAATAACAAACAACCTGCAAGATATCCGCAGACTGGTCTGCAGTAGTTCAGAATTTTGTGACTCTGAAAGTCGTACTGAAGGGGAAACTTTAGGGGGGGTCAGTGCCAGCAGTAAGACTAATAATTAATAATAATTACACATCTGGTCAAAGGCCAATGGTATAGTAAGGTTACATGATTAACCTGGACAGCAACATAGAGTGGGGACAAGAAAAGGTATATAAAGGTCTTAATTAATGCCACTTACAATGCTATTAATAATGTATGATCAGCTATTTAAATATTAATATATTTTATTACTTTCTCTTTTTTTTTAACATATTGCTTAGAAGGAAATAAGATCATCTCTGCCTACAATAGATCATATATAAAAGTTAATGGTAGATTTTCAACCCTGTATGGTAAGACACACAGTTCTCGATGTTCTGATTCAAATTCTTATAAATGTCTTCAATTTCAGTTGTGTGAATTATGTCTTTCAGGTCTTTAGATAGATAAAAGAACTGGAAGCATCATGCTTACTTGCTAACCTAATTAATAGTTTTATATATTGTTTCTTTTCTTTCTTTTTTTTTTTTTTTTAATAGAAAGTGCAGATAAATAAACTAGTTTGTTCTAGAGTAGCAATGTTGCATGGAATAGATACTGGTTTAAATTAGAAACAGTTGGGAAAGGGGAAATCAGCTATCAGTCTCAAGTTACTACTACTGTAACTGGAAACAACTTTACAAGTACATTTGGATAATTCATATTATTTTGCCAACACTTTGAAGTTACACTTTCCTCCTTCATTCCTTAAGTCAGCAAGAAACGGTTATTAAAGGCATCTCTTAAAAAAAAAATGAAACTGTCAAGATGTGGCTTTGAAATCTTTGAAAAGACGCCTGTAACA